TTTTCTTTCCCCCTTTTGTTGGTGAATCTATGATCTTTCACTTTCAAATCTTCACGTTGATGGTTGAATGAGATAGAAATTAAAGAACAATCAGAAAAAAACACAATGTGCAATCAGAAAAAAACACAATGTGCCTAGGCTCTTTCGAACCCAGCAACCGCTAGGTCAATAGAACCCAACAACTGCTAGGTTTTTTTGTGAATTCAAAAAGTAGTGATAAAAGTAGACTTGGAGGAAAAATATTAATAAATTGATTGTTTGATTCAGAAAAGTGGTGATGAAAGTGGATTTGGAGGAGGCAAAGAAAGAGAAAAAGAAAAATGAATGAAGAAGATTTAAGAAAGAGGTTGCTGGAGGTAGAAGATGAGGATAAAATTGTAATTTTTAATGAATTAGATAATTAAATTTGTTTTATTACATGGCCAAGGTTTTTGGCCACATCATTTATTTATCCATACTATAAAGTTGACATGTTACAATATTTTGACATGTCATCGAACTCTTGTGAGTGAATGATACATGTCACTGGAATTTTTACAAAAAAACTAAGTTGGAGTTAAAATAACAAATAATAGGAACTAAATCAAAAAATTTTTAAGTTAAAAGACTCAATTGGAGGTCTATACAATAATTAAAGAATCAAAATGGAGGTTTAACCAAAAATAAATATTAAAAATATCACTTTTCTTCTATATTTACTATAATTTTAAAGTATATAAATACTAAATCCCCTTACAAAATCCTCGAATGGAACATTTCACGTAAAAGTAAACCAAACACCCCTAAGTATCTTCTATTTTTATGGCTCCAAACAATTGAAATCGTAAAACACCAAAGTATTATTTTATTATTTTAGATTGCACTCTTTCACACAATTCCTCTAATGAAAAAGTATAATACAGTATAAAATATATTATATTGTACTATATTAACTATTAAATAAGTGTTAAATTTCTTGAGTGATATTAAGATCCTTCCTTTCATCTAATAATTTTTATTTTATAATTTAATACAATTCTTACTATAAAATATGATTCCCTACCTCCAAATCATGGGACGTTTCGCATTATATATTTGGTATAAACGAATGAAACTCAACTCTCCTTTTGATTACCGAGACAGGAAATTGAATTAGAGTCATTATGGTTTCTTTTACTTCCGTTATTTTCTTGGAAACCAAATAATTATCAATTTTGTTCTTTACGTGTTGTATTTTTTTAACATTGGATGATGTGGTTATATACTAAGCTATAGGTGTCCCTTTCTTAAACTCATCCCCATAAAATCACCTTGAGATAGCTAAAAAGAAAAATAAAAAAAGAGTTCCGTTGTTCAGGCTCTTTTACCTCCCATACCACTAACTAAAATCATCTAAGGATCGAAGCAGAGCCGCTGTAGGTGATGTAGTAAATCAAAAGCTTTTGCGTGAAAAGAACTGATTCTTTCATTTTTTTTTTTGATATCAAGAAATGAGCTGATTCTATTTCCAGGTATAAGGAATGCAATACCGCTTGTACTCACTGAATAACAAATGATATTCATTCTTGTTCCTCCTTTCACGCTTCACTTCACTTGGTGTAATCAAATTAGAGTTCTTGTTAAAAAAATTATTATAGAAAAAAAAAAAAAAATCACCTGTACCCGTAGCGTCATCTTTCCGCTGCACCTAAACGTGCGCTCATGACAAGAACACTCGACTTTGATGCTCTCTTCATTTATTTTTCCTATTATTTTTTTTATTAAAATAGTATTTTTATCTGTTTAATGCATTCAATAAAATTAAAACTCAGAAACTCGAGCTCTTGACTTAAACTATAAGATAACACTTACCAATGAACAAATCCGACCTGGAGGGTGCCATTTCCATTAACCTATCAAATAATGATATACCATTAAGAAAGATAATTGATCCGAGCCTAGGATATTCAAGGTCTATCCATGACAAATATTACTTCTAGTCTGGATTGATAAAATAAAATGTCAACCCTCACTGCAGATCACCAAAAATGTCTACAACACGTAGACCATCAATCGAAAAAGACCTCTATGGTCTAAAACTCCATTTAATATAGTTATAATTTTAAATTTTAAATTTTGATTTTAATGTTTATAAAATTTATAACTAATTGAAATTAAAACTAAAAAGCAAAAAATAAAAATTTATTTAAAATAAATTTTAACACTAACAACTAAAAATACTTACTAATTTAATAATATTAAAATTATTTTTATTCTTATTTCTTTAATAATTATAATAATATATTACAAAAACAAATAAAAAAGAATAAGTTTTCTATTTTAAGTTGTAAAATTTATAAAGAAAAATAAAAAACTCAAAATCACAGCATACTAAATTCATCTAACACACACAACTGCTTCATTTGCTCGACAAGCATCTAAATACATGAACTACTTCTGATAGAAAAACCAAAAATCTTCCATTTAACATCAAGAAATAAATCCAAAAATAAAACTTTAAGTCATTAACATTTTTTTTTTTTAATCAGCAAGTTATCAAGAACTGTTTTAAAAGCATTCCTCACCAAGACCCATAATTTATTTTCTCCATCTCCAAATTTGTCTCTTGCGTTTCTAAAATACATGTAGCTTATTGATAACAACGAGGAAAGAATAGTTCAACCTGATACATGAACCTCAGACATTCAACTCCTCAACTCCCGGGCCTAATGGTTCAAAAAGTGCTTCCACTTCATCTTGGCTAATCTCGTCTAAGCTAGAGGGATTCCATTTTGGATTCTGCAAGGACAATTTTTATGGATGCTTTCACAAATAAGGGAAACACAGGTTGATGCAAGTAGTTACGAAGAACAACTAATAAAAACTAAGATATCAAATGCAAATAAAATGCAGGTCATGAACATTGCTTATCATACGTGTGATATCCCAGTCCTTATTTGCAATTAGTTAAAGAAAATAGGTCCTTATTTGCATTGAGTCCAAAGTTAGATTCCTTCATCTCATCTAGAATTAGGGACTAATCTATAATATTTGTTAATTATGGAATTGCATGTTATTTTAATAAACCGCAGACCAAATGTCTATTTTAGGGAGAGTTAGTGCAGTCCAGCTGTCTATAATCTGTTAAAATAAATGACAACTGGTTGAATGAGAAGTGAGCCAAGTGGGGGAGCATTTAAGACCCACTTGACCGGAGGTTTTGATTTATCTAATTAAATTAGTCATTCTCTTGCATTTTGCCTCTAGCTGGACCGAAGGAGAAGGAGAAAGAAGATACAAATAGGTTGGGCAGGCTTGGAGAATCTTGAAGAATTCTGCCAAGCTCAGGACTTTGAACAAAGTGTGTGGTAAGTGTGGTTTTTAATTTTAAGTCAAAGTTGTCAAACAAAATAAGAAGGTAAATAAATTAGACAGAATATGCACAAGAAATTATGGTGCTGCAGAATAAGTTATATAACATAGGGAGAAGTAAATAGAGAAGTAAGTTGAACTAGAAATTTCATGTGTTGAAACTGTGAAATTCTTATAGTTCAAGTTTTGAGATTAATATGTTATATGTATCACCTTTTCTGGATTATGTTCTGCGTATTTGACCTAGGCACTTCATTAGAGCCTATTTCTATTAGTTCTACAGACCATATTAAAATTGAATCTGTTATGCATGATTATGTGCTATATATGGTTTTGTGATGTAATTGTCTTAGAATTATGGAGAGTTTCGACCCAGCCTAGGCTTGGGGGTTAGAACAGTGAACTAGTGGACCTCTGTGCAGTAGGTAAGTGCTATGATTAGCTCTAACACCTAATGTAAGTGCGTACACATTCAGTGGACTCCATAGTTTGTGTTATTTCTATTTGATGTGCTGTGTCTGTGTGATCATTTTGTGGCTGCAATGCCTTAATTTTTAATAAGACCAGTACAACTAGGAACTAAAGGAAATTTTTCTGCATAAAATACTAAGATCAGATCATCAGCTTAAGATCAAGAATTATGCTTACTGGGCTGTAAACTCACGATGTTATTCCCACCATTTCAGATAGTAGCAGTGAAGAGTAGCTGTTGTTCCTAAGAATTTTTTTTTGTGGGTGGAGGTCCCATGCTAACTGTAAGCTATGCTTTGAAATAAAAGTAAGGAAAATCTGTATCTGCCCAAAACTTCCATTTGGGTCTGTAAATTTCAATCTATTTGGTACTGTTATTGTGCCTGGGAATGGAATATAAAATGAGCCTTTTGATTCTATAAATATTTTCTGCCGTTTTTATCTTGTGCTGGACAATACCCTACTTGATAAACTAATATGTAATAGGTCTTATTTGGGTGCAAATGTAATTGGTTTTACACACTTCATGGAAGATTGACTGTAACTATGCTATAAAGAGGTAAATTTATTATCTATGGGGAGATAAAATAGGATAATTTTTTGGCAAGTCAAGGTAATTCATAAAGCTTTTAAGTAAAAAACGGTGAGGCTATTTATTGATGTAAATATAGTGACACAAGTTCAGACAACAAGATAGCATCTTCTATCACCAAGAGTTAGGGAGAGGAAGGGCTAACCTGATCCTTGTCCACCAACACTGCTCGGACACCTTCAGCAAAATCACTACGCAAAGAAGATCTTACAGCAATGCGATATTCAGTTTTCATGACATCACTTAGCTGGAAAATATGAATACAAGGAATAAAAATGTTACTTGAAAATGTCACTACTGAGGAAGAAATGTAGGTACAAGAGACAACAGGAGAGAGAGATGACATGTACAAATTCAAACTCACCGTCAATAATTCATTGCCTCTTTTACATCCAGATGCAACTCTAGAAAAATACCTTTGATTTAAGCAAAGAGAAAAAGGAGCACCCTTTCCAAGACCCTGTAGAGCTTCATTTGCCCACTCTACCACTGTGGAGAGAAAAAGAGATAAAATATGAATAGAATGTAATAACCTAGAGTTACCGTTTCTATCTCAGCTGCTAATATCCACAGGAGATGAGTTTCAAGAGAGCAGAAAATTGAGGCATTAATTTGGTTTAAAAGTTCAAATCAGAAAGAACAGCAACTAACTTACCCGATGGTTCAGTACTCTGCTGGTGTTTTTTAAGCTCTTCAATTGTTTCTTTAACTGACTTATCTGCACCAAAGCATGATGTTATATGAGGTAAAAGTGACTTCAACTGAGGTTCAGGCTCAGGGTTACTGCTATAGTTTGCCAAAAGTGCTGCAATGTCCTGATATGGATCCTCCGAACTGTGTAAATGTATAAAACACAAATCATACACGTGAAAAACAGAAACATCCTGCAAAAAGGATTATTCAACCTCTCCAATAAGAAATTCAAAGGTTTGTTTATTCTGAAAACATGAGAGATTATTTATTGTGAACTAAAGGGGGTATACATTATATAAATCAACTTTTGATGAATCACTTCGAACTCATACTTGACACAATTCTTGCCCCTACCATGAAGACATGAAGAAAATTTGGTCCTAGAAATAAGATTTTTCCCATTGATAAGGAGCATATGTTGGTATAATGTTGTAATTTTGATATGAGCACAGGACTTTAAGATGCTTCACACATATACAAATGCAAAATCCAGAATCTTCTTTCATTAAAATGAAATGTAATCCAGGTAGAAAGATGAATGGAGATATACAAGCTAAAAGCCAGAAGGGCCTCCCTCAGTGAGGCTAATTTCGTGGATAGCACATAGTGTGTCCCAAGACCTACGTAGAGCGCATCAGAGGGCGTAGATATCCTTTTTCCAGTCAGTCCAAGATAAGCACCTGAAAAACCCGAGTTAGCTATTCCCTTCTCATATATGATACAGATACGCCGACTTTGGTTTCATTAATTAAATAAAATTCATGCAAAATAAAATACCCCCCACCCCAATAGAAATAAATAAATAAAAGCATACCAACAGAGCCTCCTCCTGGTGTTTGTGCTGCTATATATGAAAACCCAACATCAGGAAACAAGCCAATTCCATTTTCTGGCATAGCGAGAACAGTCCTCTGGAATGTATTTACAAAAATATAAAACATTAGAGACAAGAAATTTCTTCTACTAGTGCTACCTAACCTAAGTGGCCTCTGCATGAGAAGGCAATCATCTATATTACCTCTGTGACAACCCTGAAGCGACCATGACCAGATAGGCCAACTCCAAAGCCCATTGTTATTCCGTCCATAAAAGATATATAAGGCTTCTTGTACCCAGAAATTTTGCATATTAGAGAATACTCAGCAGTGAACACCTGACAGAATGCAGAACAATAAGGCAAATTAACTTCAGATGACAGGAAAATATGCAAGGAACTGTTTAATGCAAAACATGAAATTGCACCAGAAGGGAGCTTCATAACTATGCTATAATGCTATATAATTATTTTTCTGATTTATGCATTAAAGAAAAAATACCAAACAATAATATATGCATTGAATGATGCAACGTATGACTGATATCACAGGTACAAAACAAAATGATACAAGTGCTTAGATGGTATACTTCAAAAATACTACTACCAAAAAAAAATTTATTAAAACATTCTCCTAAAATACTACCAACCAAACTTGAAAGCCTACTTTTCATCTAAGGACCCCAAAGAAGATCCAGACAGGAAAAGTTATGGTCTGCATCACGTCATGCAAGTTTAATCAAGCATGTCAAGTGCTTCATTCCTCTACCATTTTTCCATTTTCTTCCAAATAAAAATTGAAAAGAATTACTTTAGTATGTACCAAACACTATATTTAGAGGTATTTGCTTAGATTTATGCCTTGTCACCTTCACCATTTAGAGAAAAAGAGAAGGTATTAATGCATCAGTGGATTAACCATTGACACTGATTTGAGTAAAATAATCAACTGATCAAATCACTAGTCAAGTAGTTATATTGATATTTATAAAACATGTATTTATAAAACATGAAAAAGGGTATGGTTGATAAGGAAAAAATGTTTGGTTAACTTGATTTGAAATCAACTGTGCATGTTTATAAATATGATGGTATATAATTTAACCTCAATCATTTCCCTGAGTTGATTTTTGGTTGTGATCTGCTTCACATCACCACCTGCAATTATGCTAAGATCTAGGTTATCCATAAGACTAGCATCGACTGCTTCAAATTATACGGAACAACATCTCATTTAGTATCAGCAAGAAAAGGGGAAGAAAGGATGAAACTAACTACAACAAGATATGGTCGGCAACAAATTAATACAGCAGGGACCAGTAGAAAACGTAAATTAGTAAAACATGCTTCGAAGAGTCATCATTCTGCACAGGACATACAATAGTAAATTTACAAAAGTACATATACATATAAAACACCTTAGGCACAAGAGGTGTGTTTTTGTCCTTTTGAATTTCGGCAACAACACCTTTAATGTCCATACCTGCATTGGCCATGAATGGTTAGCCCCAAACTCCCCTAAAACTAAAAAATGAAAAAAAAAAAAAAAACTAAAAGCAGCCCACAACCATATCGATTCATACAGAAACAACAAGATATTCAGTTAAATGTAATCTAGAAAAGCTACTCTCCAGGTACCTGCACAAAAAGCACGAGGCGAGCTGCCCTCAACCAAAACACATTTAACCTTGGGATCCTCTTCCCATTCTTCAAGAAACTGTTTGTACTTAACATCCATGGCTGCATCATGCATACACAACAAATTTTAGCAACACAACTAAAGTACTAAACAGCCATAGAACATGGTAAATAATCTCGTGATTCAATTGAAAAACGCATCCAGAAATAAACTAGATTGAGCATTCAATTCAGGAGAAATTCGAAGAAAGAAGAAACAAAGAGAGTGACCTAAATTCATGGCGTTGAGGGCTTTGGGGCGATCGAGAGTGATAACAGCGACTCCATTGGGATGAACATTTCCCTTGACGAATTCCTCTGCGACAGTTCCGGCCATGATCGAGAAGTACCGACGGTGAGAGACGGCGAGGTTTCTGAGGGATTGGGAGGAATCGGTGAAGATCGGGAAGGTGAGAGATGGATTAGAGGGGAGAGAGCGAGTGGTGTAGGTGGTTAAGAAGGAGAAGAATGGCGATTTGGATGCGAGGTTTGAGACGGAGATGATCGGTGAGCATTTCATTTCATTTCATGATATTTGGCGATTGGCCCCTTCTAGTCCTTGACCTTTGATTCGGAATCCAGAACTACCAAATAATTAGACAAAGAGGCTTCCTTTTAGGGTTTTTTTTTTTTTTTTTTAAATAAGGTTACAATTTTGGAGGAGAGGGAATTGAATCCAGCCGTCAGTGAGTGGGGGTACATTTTATAAGTCGGTTTATAATCGTGAGTTCCAGTGCCCTTTTAGGTTTTTTAATGATGATGTTTTCGGAACACAAATCGGGAGCAAGTAAAATTTTGAAACAAAAAATTTAATATTAATGATATAATATATATCATGTTATTAATTTAATTAAAATATGTAAAAAAAATATTTTTTATTTGTTTTACCTTTTAAAAATTAAAAAAATGTTATTTTAAATTTACGTCATTTTAATAAATACTTATTAAAAAAATTAAAATATTATATTTTTAAAACATAAATTAAGGTATTTTTTATTTTTTTTTATTTTTTTCTTAATTTT